AGGGGATAAGGAGAAAGAGTCTTAATTACATTAAGAAGGACCAAGGCAGTATTAAGACAAGACTATAAAAGTTAAACTACATACAGCTCTGGAACACATGCCTGCCACTCTTGGATAAGTTCTGGAAGGTGAAAAGCCCTACTTTCCTCTCTAAAAACCACATCTTTATTTAGCCAAAACAACTGTCTCTGGGGAAGGAAAGAGTGAGGCAACATTTTTGGTTGTGTGGAGGGTGTTCAGAGAGAAGGAAGGCCCATTGGACTTGGAACTTCTTGTTGACTCTTATATCACAGGCCTGCACAGATGTGAGTATTCCTGCTGATTTGGTAGGATTCATCCCTCTAGCTATATTTGCCTTTCTGTGTGTTTTAGGTTATACAGTCCTATTAACAAAGTTTTCCAGCAGTTAGAATATATTAGTTTTCAACTGCAGTACAACAAATTACCACAAATGTACAGCTCAAGACACCTTTATTATGCTTCAATTTCAATGGGTCAAGTGTCCCTGCATAGCCCAGCTGTGTGCTCTGCAATTAAGATTTGTGTTCCTCACCCATATAATCCTGGGAGGCTCCAATTCAGACTTACCTGGCTTTTGTGACTGCTTATCTGGCTTCTGGAACTGCTTGCTTGCCCACCTACAGGAACAAACATGTGACTGCTTGTCTTTGAGTAAATCTTGTACCAACAGGTCAGGATATGGACTTTACCTTTAAAAGCTCCCATCCCCTCCCAGTTAGTGCTGCATTCTCTGAATTGGCTCAGAGAGTGCAGTCGCTGGAAAGCTAAATAAATTTGCTGATTTGGAAAATAAAAAGATCTGTGTCCCTTTTGGCTCCTCTTTCAAATTCACAAAGTCATTGGAGGAATTCCTTGTGGTTATAGGACTGCCATGTAGCCCTCTCAGGCTCTGTTAATAATGACAGCTCACTGCTTCAAGGCTGGCAGGAGACTCTCCATCCAGCCTGCCAAGAAGGCATCTTATATAACAAATGGGAGCTTGGCCCTTTTCATATTCTCTTGACTATAGAAGCAAGTCATAGGTCATATGGTATTCAAACAATTACGTAGTTCTGTGATACAGTGGCATCATCCAAGAATTCTGCCTGCTGTGCAGAGTAAACTTATCTCAAATAATTTCTGAGACGTGGAAAGAGAAGATAAAAAGGGGGCTATGTGCTCAGCTACTGACTGGTAAAGATTACCTTTCTTCCTACCAAAGTGGAAGATATATTTGTGAGTAGACAAAAGTGTGGAATACAGCAGAGATTTAAAGCTGCTCTAAGGAGAGAAAGTTAAGAAAGACCCCAGGGCCAAGCTTTGGCCTCCCTGTACCTCTTCCATTTTATGTAAACATTTTGTGTCTAATTTTTCAGATTGGCTGCTACTCCAGGCCTCTAGTAGAGTCCTCACTGAAGGAGAACCTCTGAACTTAAGATGTCACTCATGGAGGAATAAATTGGTGTACAATATGCTTTTCTATCGAAATGGAAAGACCTTTAAGTTTTCTCCTCAAAGTTCTGAACTCACCATTCTGAAAACCAACCTGAGCCACAGTGGCATCTACCACTGCTCAGCCATGGGAATGCATCGCTATACATCAGCAGGAGTGTCTATCACTGTGAAAGGTATCATATCTGGGAGAGTTAGAGAATCACAGTTGTAAGGAAAAGAAGAATCACTATAAATCATCCAAAGTCCTCACTTCAACTTACAAATGAGGAAACTGAGTCTTGGAGGCAAATGGTCTTACTGAAGGCCACACAATGAGCACTGTCTGGAACCAGAACCAGAGTCTCTGGGTCCCAGCAGACTGCTCTTTCCAGTATTCCACAATAGATCACAGGGCTAAGCCCAAGCCAGGGCATAGTGAATATCCATTTCATCAATTTTATTTTTAGCTGCTAAGGCTAGAAGCTCATTCAAGGTAGCTAGAGTTACCAGAGACTAATCCAGTGGAATCTCATGAACATGCCATATAAATAGAAACCAGAATGAAGGAAGGAATTGGTTGTATTTTGTATTTATGTGTCAGGGATAATGTAGCCTCTCTGGTCCCACTGGTCTCTAAACATATTTAATTCAATAGTTTCTTCTGTACAATTCGCACATGTCCTTTGTTCTGACTCTTTCATGGCCTACCTTTTTTTTTTTTTTAAGATTTAGTTATATTTTTATGTGTATAAGTGTTTTGCCTGCATGTTTTTAAGTGCACTCCTATGTGCAATACCTGGGGAGGCCAGAAAAGGGCATTAAATACCCTGGGACTGGAGTTACAGATGGTTGTTAGCAGCCATGTGGGTGCTGGGAACTGAACCTGGGTCCTCTGCAAGAGCAGTCAGTGCTCTTAACCTCTGAGCCATCTCTCCAGCCTCATGGCCTATCTTCTTAGTACTCATAATCACTGGCAAAGTTTTTGTGTCTGAAAAAGTTCATTCCTATGGGAAATAAATTATTGTCCTGGATTACCTTTTGAGTAACACCAGTAATGAATCTCTTAACTGGCAAGTGTAGGTTAGTGTTGAGTCTGGGTGGACTTGTTGTCATTGGGGTGTATGGTTTTATAATAAATGGCAGAGGCCAGGTGTATGACTTTAATCCCAGCACTAAGGGGCAGACACAAATGCATCACTGTGATATTGAGGCCAGTCTGGGATAGTCTACTTAGGGAGTTCTAGACCATCTGCATTTTCTATAGTGAAGCAAGCCCTGTCGCAAAAAAATACCAACAAAAGCCAAGCCTGGTGGCAAACACCTATAGTCCCAGCACCTGGAAGGTAGAGGCAGGCAGATCTCTGTGAGATGAAGGCCAGCCTGTTCTATATATCGAGTTCCAGGTCAGTCTGGGATATATAGTGAAACCCTGTTTCAAACCATCCCCTGCAAGAGATGGCTCAGCCTTAAGGGTTTGGTTCCCAGCACCCACATGATGGCTAACAACCATCTGCAACTCTAGTTCCAGGGGATTTGGCGCCCTCTTCTGACCTCCACAGGCATTGCACACATGGGTGCACTTAACATACATGTAGGCAAAACACTCATACACATAAAATAAAAATAAATAAAAAAGAGAAGCCCTGTCTCAATGGCTCTCCTCTGGAAATGGGGCAATCCATTCTCTTGGGGGAAAAGGAGTTTGTTTTTTGTGAGAGGAATACTAACGCTGACCCAAACAACCCTGTCCTCTGTGATCTTTCTCTTCAGAGCTATTTGCAGCTCCGGTGCTGACAGCATCCTTGTCACTGCCCTTCCTGGAGGGGAACCTGGTCACCCTGAGCTGTGAAACCAAGTTGCTGGTACAGAGGCCTGGCTTGAAGCTTTACTTCTCTTTCTATATGGGCAGCAAGATCCTGGAGGGCAGGAACACATCCTCAGAGTACCGGATACCAAGTGCCAGAAGGGAAGATTCTGGATTATATTGGTGTGAGGCAGTCACAGAAGATGGAAACGTCTTTAAGCGCAGCCCCAATTTGGAGCTTCAAGTGGTTGGTGAGTAAGAGGAAAGTGAGTGTATAGCCCTGGCTGGTCTGGAACTTGCTATGTAGACCAGGCTGGCCTCAAACTCACAATCATCTGCCTGATTATTCCTCCTTGAGTTCTGAGATTAAAGGTATGCACCACCATACCTGGCCCAAAAGAAAAGATGCAGCATAGGCTGGCCACACTCGTGATCCTCCTGCCTCAGCGTCATCAGCACATTCTATCAGCGTGCATTGATTTCTAAACAGTATCTCTCAGGCCTTTTTCTGTTTCAGGTCTCCAGTCATCCGCTTCTGTCTGGTTTCACATCCTTTTCTATTTGTCAGTGGGAATAATATTTTTGGTGGCTACTGTTCTCTGTGTAAAAATACATCAAAAACTGAAAAGAAAGAAAAGGTGGAATTTGGAAATTCCATTGGTTTCTAATCATGGGAAGGAAGAAGCTTTCTGCTTTCAACAGTTAGAAGAGGTGAAGTGTCTGGAGAAAGAACAGCCACTATAAGGCAGCCCTCACCAAAGAAAGCCCAGAAGTACAGCGTAGCTAGAGGTTGGCTGCAGACCTGGATAGCCCTACCTCTTCCTTTCTGTGACAGCACGGGGACACAAACTTCCCAAAGTTGACTGACTAAGCTGTGGGTCCTATGGTATGCAACTCTGAAATAAAACAGATATATGAGCTGACTTCAATTTGGTAGTAAAATGATTTGAAATTTACTTGTGGAAGTCAAATCATGGCAAGAGTTTTGTTGAATGCACATAATTTTTGGCTTTATAGAGCAGAAAAGCAGGAAAATGGGAACTGTAGGAAATGAAGCCTATAGGAACCACCCCCCCACACACACACCCGCCAAAGACCCTCTGGAGAGGAACCAGCTCTGAAAGACTCTAGTCTGAGGAATGGGGAGCTAGAGCAGGAGAGACCTTCCAGCCTGAAAGGGGGAACTCTGCCTCCCTTCACTGGGTGGACAGTTTCAGGGAAAGGACTTCCCAAGGACAGCTGGTGTGGTGGGAGGCATCATGGGTACAGACAAACCACCAGTGATCTGAGGAGAGGCTGGAACAAAGCTAGTCACCTTGAGAGCATTGCAAAGTGCATTCTTCCCCAGATTTGCCACCCACACACCCAAAAGGACCAAGTGTCAGCAGCTAGGGAGTGAGGTTAGCAGTCTCCAGAAGTTAGGTTCATCCTTGCCTCCCTCTGGTCCAGAAAGAAGTCTCACTCAAGTGCCCTTTCCAGGCAGTCTGCATGGGGTGTCTTCCAGGCCAGTGGTACAAAGGCATCTTAGCATCTGGCAAGCAATGGTCACTCCTGAGTATAGTTACTGGGTTGCTTAAAGCTTTATCCACCCTGTATACCCACAAGTTGGTGCCCAGAACAGGGCTGGGGCACCTTCCCAAAGCATGGCCAGAAGGTACAGCTCATGAATGTCCTGTGCCACACCAGGAAGACAGAACCCAAGAAACAAGGAGTAGATCGTATCTCCACTTACTATCACTCCTAAGGACTCAGTAAAGGGCTTGGTGCCACTCATCCTGGGGCGTCTAGACTCTGCTGGACTAGCAGTCCAAGTCCCCAGGGGGAACATGGTACAGCATGAATCTCATTGAATTAGAACCATTAGAGGATACCAGGGTTCAATTGAGTTTTTATGGCCAAGGACCAATAGGCAAAAGAGGATCCACTGTCTCGACAGGGATAATCAATGGTGGTCAACCAAAGGACATACACTCTGTTGCATAATGCAGGTAGCAACTGTCAATGAAAAACTCACAGCTCTTGGGACTAGAGAGATTACTCAGAGGTTAAGAGCACTTGCTGCTCTTCCAGAAGACCTAAGTTCAATTCCCTGTACTTGCACAGCTCACAACTTCCTGTGACTCCAGCTCTAAGGGATCCTGATGCCCTCTTCTGGGCTCCATGGGCACATGCAAACACATGGCCTTCACCACACACACACACATCCTTAAAAAGCTAGATTTAAGAAAACACAGCTGGTTCCTCAAAGAGAATAAGAAATAGTTTATTCTGGAGCCAAATATAAGTGAGCATGGCCTGAGAACACAGGAGTTACACCAAATATCATGTTCCAATGTGATAACAATTTTACAAAGTTTTTATAGTATTAGAAAAAAGAAAATCATAAATCAAGACACTTTCAGAATACATTGATGGAAACAGGTAAGCAGATTACAGCAAAGCAAAGCAATCTCTGCTTGAAGCTTGGATGCTGTTTGATGACAGTTTTAGTCTTTGGATGTGTGAAGTTAGGGGTCTATTTGTACATTTCAAAAGGATTTACTTATCAGTCACAGGATGCCCACACAGGTGGGCAATAAATGCCTACCGAAAGGGCCAAGGTAGCCCGAGATAATTTTGACTCCCAACCTATAACATTTCAGTTCTCTGCAGTCAATCAGCTTTGTGGACTGTTTAGCACAGATGTGGTTTTGTTTTGTTTTTGTTTTTCTAGAACTTTGCTTCACAAAAAGGAACAGATTTGCAATGTAGCAAACCAACCAGCTGACCCAGATCACCCTTGCCTAATGGTGACTTTAAATGGATAGGTATGACAGAAGACTTAATGATTCAAGTCCCTTAGGGTCTGGGTCAAGCCACCAGGTCAGCCTCTGAGGCAATAAGTAGCAATTGTGTCCCTGAGACAAAATGCAGCACCAGGAGTTGGAGTTTATCCTAGTAACCTCAATCTATTACTACTACTACTACTACTACTACTACTACTACTACTACTACTACTATTAAAGACTATTATTTGAGGCTGGCCTCAAACTATATAGCAGTTACCTCAGTATTTTTCCATCAGAAAGAAAAGTCTGGGGGACTTCTGGGAAAAATCTAAGGGGCAAATGAACACATGGACATATGTGAAGATGTTTAATGGATATACTGGCAACAACACCTTTAGGGAATCAAACTGTAGATTGTTCACTTCTGTACACACTTTTGTATATTGGCCTACCTGAGAACACGCCTGCTTTGAAGAGTTTGAAGCAGGTTTGCTTTTCCACCTATTCCTTTCCCTTACCCTTCTCCCAGTTTATTGGAGAAAGCCATCGCTCATCCATCCCAAACCATGATATATTGCTGTAAAAAAAAATCCTTCTTGTGGTTCCAAAGAGTCAAACCAGTATCTTCCTTAAAAATCAACACTATATGTCAGATACTATAATCTACCAATTCTTGTAGTTTTCCTGTCATATTTAGGAGGTTAGGGGCAAAACCAGACATTAGAAATGAACCTGTTTTATTGTCAAAAGATGGGGCAGAATTTATGCCCTTCCCCACTTCCTTTCCCCCTCTCCCCTGCCTTCTCCTTCTTCTTTGTGGTACTGGAACAGAACCCAGGACCTTCTGTGTGCTAGGCAAGTGCTCTAGCACTGAGCTGAGCAACACCCCCAGCTCTATTTAAAATTTTTATCTTGAGTCAAATTTTGCTTTACCTGGCTGGTCTTGAACTCTTGATCCTCCTGCCTTGGCTTGCCAAGTGCTTAGATTTACAGGCATGCACATCTGGCTTCCCTCTTTACTAATGAACAATAACAAAAATGCTTGTCTTGAGAGAGAGTCTCTTGAAACAAAGACAGAGAATATAAGAAATAATGATACAACTTCGTTTTATTTCATTTAACCAAAAAAAAAAAAAAGTGTGCATAGCCCTATACCTGTTCTAATCATATGTGAATTAGGCTGTGTGAGGATAGGATTAAATCCTACAGCCTCAAACTATGAAGGGTTTTCATCCCTGTCAGCTGAGAAGGCTGATGAGAGCATCACAGCTTGGAACACTGCCAGTTATGTCAGCATAGAGTCCTCAAGCAGTCCAAGACAAAAGTAGTTGGTTCTGGAGATGGCACACTTAACTATTGATCAGATCTAGCATAGATCTAGATCTAACATAGCTCCACCCAACCATAAAGAGACTGTAAAATTCTACAGTAAGCGCAACCTCAGAAGCTGGAGATGCAAAGTGAGCAGCATGGCTTTAAAGGAAACACTTAGGATCCCTAAAAAGCATGCAAATACCAAGTGGCTATTTATTGCATGCAGGCATGCCCAGCCCTGACTTTGAGACATGATGCTGTCATCTAAGAACCTTGCAATCAAGTTAAAAAACAGAAAGTCTTATGTTTTAAATAGGTGTTTAGATTTGTGTTGGTGCCCAGTGTGGAGGGAGGCGGATCTCTGGGAATTCAGGCCAGCCTCACTACAGGAAGACCCTGTCAAAAAAAAAAAAAAAAAAAAAAAGTTGATAGATGATTGATAGATAGATGATAGATAGATAGATAGATAGATAGATAGATAGATAGATAGATAGATAGATTTGTGTTGGGCTGCTTTTATGGTAGAAAGAAAGAAGAGAGAGAGAGAGAGAGAAAGAGAGAGAATTTGTGTTGGGCTGCTTTTGTGGTATTAAGGGCCATGAGCTGTGGGCTGGGCATGCTTCATAATTTCAGAAAAGAGATGTAAATTCCTCTTCTGACAGATCAGATCAACAATGTCTTTAAAAAATTTTTTTGGTCTTTTTGAGACAGGGTCTCCCTGTAGCCCCAGCTGGCCTGGAACTCACTATGTAGACCAGGCTGGGCTTGAACTCACAGAGATCCGCCTGCCTCTGCCTCCCGAGTGCTGGGGATTAAAGGGATGCGCCACCACGCCCTACAACATTATGTCTTTAAGTAAAAATCTCCAGGTAGGGTAGTTTTGTATTTTCTTTAATTTCAAAAAGCATTCCAATAGTTTTCCTTTTAAAGGTGCTGGATGCTATAAATTCATACACTTATTTTACTTCTTTGCAAATCTGCTTGCTGTCATTTATCGATCATTTCTGTTCCTGGGACGTGTTTTTGGATTCTGTTGTAAATAACCTTTGTAACAGGCCACAAAACACTCTTGGAATACACAATTGAACTAACCCTCGGCTTAACACGTGGGCCCTGGGATGTTGGCTGCAGGATCGCTGGGCGGCGGGCGCCACCCTGTGGTCATCTGTGCACACTGCGGTCACCGCCGCCAAGGCGAGACCGGGACCCCGCTCGGCGGACCCTTCCAGGATCTCTCCCTCAACCCTAGTGAAAAACTGCCTTTCCACAGCTGGAAGGAAAGAAAATGAGCTTCAGACTGGGTCTGCGGCGGTACCAGGCAGGTGCAACAGTCGTGCGTGATGGATTCGCCTGGTACTCGGAGGAACACGCCCGCGGCTGCCGAAGCGCACTGCGACAGTTCACTATGCGCAGGCGGCGCGCGACGGGGCGGCCACCTCCTCCCCGCGCGGTGGGCGAGGTCGATGCGCGCTCGCCGTCCCTCATGGCGCCCCCTAGCGGCCACCGTGGAGGTTGCAGCTGCCGGCTTCTGGAGACGACGCTATTCCGCAGGTCCCCAGAAGTTCGCCTGCTGGGAGACCTTGAGAAAGGGCATCGGAGGAGGGGACCAAGCGGGCGGAGGTTGCAACCCCCGCCGCCTCCCTGCTGGCTCCGTCGCTGTCAGCAACACCCACCCTGGGCCTCTGGGACCTCTCTAACCTGTGAAAGTCTTGGGTTTATCCTGCAGTTAATCACCAGGCCTACCAGTCCTCAGACCAGAATGGACAGGTGATAACCAAAAACGGCAGTTGGTTAGGAAGATGGATCAGTCAGGGGTTGTCACTTTCCAGGCTTAACAAGCAAATTCGCAAACTCATTCAAGAGCCACAGGAGTTTCTCCTAGGAACCTAGGCCCATCTTACAGTACTTAGCAGTTCCTAGTCTGAGAAGAGACTTCCGCTCCACGGAAGAGACCAACTGATTTGTGGGTAAACCAGGAGTAGTTGGATCCATTCTGGACATTCCATTCCCCCGTGCCTTTAGAATTTACATACTCCCTCTGGGGGAGGGGGGAGGGACCTGGATAGACCCAGTGATTTTAAGCCTGAGAAAAGAGACCTTGCTGACACATGGCCGCAAGGAAGACTAAGCCAGGGGCTGCAGAGGGACAACAGTGGGAGCAAGGAAAAGAGGAATCCAGAGGAGGGACACGCAGCTTGGACTAGCATGGCAGCAATGGAGCTGCTAGAAATGCTGCGTTTGGAATGTTTTGTAGGAAGTGGCAACGTCTGAATCACTAAATGTAGGACCGTGAAAAGGGTGTGTGTGTGTGAGAGACCTCAAAGATTTTGACTCAGAGCAATAAACATTCCATTGACTGAACTGAGAAGGAGCAAGCTGGTTGGAACAGTAAAGTGTAGAAAGCAACAAAAATTTTGTATTAGGTATATTAAGATTCTTTTTGTTTTGAGACAGGGTCACATATGTCCCAGGCTATTCCGGAACTTGCTCTGTAGAGCCCATTGCCCAAGTGCTGAGATTACAGGCATATATCACTATGTAATGGGGTGCTGGTAATCAAACAGTGTTTCCTGGATGCTAGGTAAACACTCTACCAACTGAGCTGTCACCCTAACCCCTTATTTCAGATTCTAATTAAACCTAAGTGTAACTGTTAAAGCAATGGGTTAAGCCTACAATGCTGGGCTACAGAAAATATGTAAGGGGAAGGGAAAATACGCTAAGAAAAATCAAAGAGTATAAGACTGGGCCTTGAGTTACACCAAATCTTAGAGGCTGGGTAGAAAAGTGAAAATGAAGAATATTTGATACGAGTAGCCAGGGAGGGGGAGGCAGAAAAACGTCCCAAGAAAGAGTGACAAACTATGTCAAAATTTTGTGAGAACATTTAATTTGAAAGGGATTGCATTCCATCTGTAGATTTTCTGGTTTTGTGGGGGTTAAGGGAGGAAGGATGAGCATGCCACCGTTGACTTTCCCAATTCATGAGCAAGGTATAGCTCTCCATTTCCTCATGTTATTATTTATATCTTACAGTGGTGTTAGAATCTTCCCTCTACAAGCATTGTTCAGTTTATTCCTACATTCCTCATTAAAAATTTTATTTAAAATATTTATCATTTTAATTTTATGTGCACTAGTGTTTTGCCTGCATGTATGTAAGTGCACCATGTGTGTGCAATACCTTTGGAGGCCAGAAGAAGGCATCAAGATTCCCTGCAGTTATGGATAGTTGTTAGCCACCATATGGGTACTGAGAACTGAACCCAGTCAGTCCTCTGGAAGAACAGCAAGTGCTCTTAAATACTGAGCCATCTCTCGGGCACCTCCTACATCCTTTAATTTTATGTCTTATTACGAATGAAATAGTTAGAATCTTAAGAAATGATAGATAAATGTGTCTCATAGCTAAAACAGTATAAAAACTAACCCTAAGAATATTGTTATTAAGGGGCTGGAGAAATGGTTCAGTGGTTAAGAGCAAATTAACTGAAACTAACAAAAATTTATTTATTTATATTTATGTAAGAATTGAACTTAGAGTCTCACACAGACTAGGCAAGTGCTGTACCACTGAGTTATATTCCCAGCCCTACTTTTGATTTCTTGAGACAAAATCTTAAGAAGTCCAAACTTATGTAGCTGAGGATGACCTTGAATTCCTGATTCTCCTGCCTCTACCCCAGCCCCCAAAGTGTAGGGATTATAGGTGTGTGCCATCATAACCTGTCTTTTTTTTTTCTTTCTTTCTTTCTTCCTTTTCTTTTCTTTTGGCTTAGAATTTGTAGCAGTCCTCCTGCCTCAGCAAACTGAGTGTGGAGATGAAAGGCATGAGTGAAACTTTTAAAGATAATACTTCATTGTCTTATTTTTATTTTATGTGTATGTGTATTGCCTACATGTATGTAAGTGCACCCATATCATGCAATGCCTGAAGAGGTCAGAAGAAAGCATTGAAACTGTAGTTAGGGAGGGTTATTAGCTGTCATGTTAGGTGCTGGGAATTGAACCTGGATCCTCTGCAAGAGCAGCCAGTACTCTTAACCACTGAGCCATCTCTCCAGCCCATGATTTCTACTTCTTTGTAAGCATGTTCTCTTTAACCCTGTTTTTAAATTTTATTAGCCTCTGTTAAGGGTGTCATTTTCATTTCATCCTTGGCTCCAAAGCATGTAATAGTACCTTGTAGACTGAGGATGAATACATGTATGTATGTATGTATATGTATTCATGTGTGCATGTAGACATGCCTATGAACAGCTCCCTTTTGTTCCTCTCTTTTAAAAATATTTTAATATTTTTATTTTGTGTGTCTAAGTGTGTTGCTAGAGTGTTGGATTCCCTGGAACTGGAGTTACAGTTAGTTGCCATGCAGGTGCTGGAAATTGAACCTGGGTCCTCTGGGTCCTCTGTAAGAGCAGTTAATGATCTTAACAGCTGAGCCATCTCTCCAGCAGAATGACAGGAGACATGATTGGCAAAGGCTGTGATTAAATGGTGTCACTGAGGCTGTGCAGTATCCAGACAGCACACCTTATTCCCTCCTGAAACTTCTCATCCCCCACTGGATGAATTTTGACATATCTGGATCTTTAATGTTCTTTAACTTTTCTTCCATATTTTTCATTTATTTCTCCTTATATGGTTTTGGGGGAAAACATCTGGTTTGATTTTCAGCTTTAAAAAAAAATCTGTGTTCATTCTTGATTCAGCCCTTATTGCTTTTTTAATAACCAAGTTTTAAATTTCCAAGATCTCTGACATTTTTTAATCACCCCCTCCTATATCTCTGAGGATATTAAATACTCTTATTCTGAGGTTTCTGAACAGTTTCATTGGGTTCTACTGTTTTCTGAGTTTACTGTCTCTGATTTAATAATGAAATTCAGATCCATATTAGGTTAGTTTCAATTGGGCCTCACACTGGACCCCAGATTGATTTTTCTTGTACAAGTTCTCAATCAGAATTCTCTTATCAGAAGCAGAGTTATGATGTGGAAGGGCCTTTGCTTTTCTTCAGCTGTGGGGGACAGCTTTCTCCTTCTAAAGTCTCTGATGACTCTTGGTTATCATGCTCCCTTTTTATTGGAGGGGGTTTCTTTGCTGAAGTGTGCTTGTGTCTCAGGGGTGACATATAATATTGGAAGTTTACAGTAGTTACTTCATGGGGTGAGCTCCCAGTCACCTGGTACATTAGCCTATCTGTCTGAACCAAGTCTGACTGTACTCACTGCTGAGATCAAATACTTGTGGCTTGCTATATAGTCTCCAGGGTAAAGGGAAGATATGAATAAACCTTATTGCTTGCACGTCTTGTGGTCCCCAGGCATCCAGCTGTCTCAAGTCAATGCTTGTTCTTGGTACCTTCCTTGCAAAATTGTTGGTCCTTTTTGATCTACTACTGTCTTCCACAGAAGTCCTCTTCTGTACGCTTCAGTTTTGGCTCATCTGACATCTTTTTTTTCACCCCCCCAATTTTCTAACATATTTCTTTGTGGTGAAAGGTGAGGAAAACATGGCGTATCTTTAGTATGCTACCTTAAGCAAGTAGTTACATTCACTTGTGCATCAGAGATGAGAAACTTGAATGGTATTCCACAGGACTTCCCCACTGCCAACATCAGCTCACATTATTATCAAACATTGTTAAATAAAACATTGTTATATGTATTTACTTATTTATTATTCACAAAAACATTTTGAAGTCAACATTACTATGGTTAAGAGTACTGACTGACTACTCTTGCAGAGGACCTGGGTTCAGTTACCAGGACCTACAAGGTGGCTAACAACTGTCCTTAACCTCAGTTCTGGGGGATCTGAGGCCCTCTTCTGGCCTGCTCAGGTACTGCATGCCCATGCTGCACTTACATACATGCAGGTAAAACACACACACACACACACATAGTCTCTCTCTCTCTTTTAAAAAGGTAAGATGGCTCAGCAGTTAAGAACACTTTCTGTTCTTCCAGAGGACCTGGGTTCAATTCCTAGCAACCACATGGCAGCTAACAATCATCTATAACTCCAGTTTCAGGGTATCTGACACCTGGACTCTGTGGGCACTGAATGAACATGGTGCACTTACATGCATGTAGGCAAAACACTCATACACATAAAATAAAAAAATAAAATTTAAACTTAAATTTTTTTTTAAAAAAGGAAACACACCCTATCAGACTTCTGAGAGAGTTACATACCAGCTGGTTTGCTTCAATAGTATACACTCTAATAACTAAAAACTGTGCACTGGAATACTGAATTTAGGAATCACCCTTCCACATCTACGCCCCTACGCCAACACTGCTGGGAGGGTCTTCACATATAATTAGCTACCTTGACATATCCGAGTTGTAAGGGGCTGTCAATTCAATCTGTGTGACTCAACCTATGCTTATAATTTCAAATACATTTCTTCATGACAGGAAGAATTGACACAGTGTTTTACCTTGCTTTTCTAATCTATGCAACTCTACTTTCTCCTCACCATAAAAAATTTCCAGAAAGTTCTCAGTTATGAACCTTTCCCTCATAAACACATCCCAATGATCACAAATAAGAAATAAGCTTTGTTAAACAAATGAAGCAAACATCGTGACTATTTTTCTGTAGACAAAGGATTGGAATTCAAGTTTTGCTGTGGTGAACTCTCCTAGTAATCTTAAAATCACATTCTATGTATATAATTGTGTATTTATTTGTGTGCATGTGTATGCCTGTATGTGTGTGCGTGCACATGGAGATCAGAAGTTAACTCTGGGGGTAGCCCTAAAACTGTTATACACACACACACACATACACGTCATTCTGGTTTCTACTACCTGTCTATTTTGATGCCAATATGAAGATATGACAATGAGTTTAGGTACTTAAAATAATTCAGACAAAACATTTCTACAAAGGGGCTGATTATCTTGCAGGGTGTAATGGCGCACACCTTTAATCCCAGCACTCAGGAGGCAGAGGCTGGTAGATCTGTTGGGATCTTGGTCAGCCTGATCTACATATTGAGTTCCAGGCCAGCTGGGCCTACAGAGACTGTCTCAAAAAAAAAAAAAAAATGTTCAGCTTTCATCAACCAGCAAGCAAAAACCTAGGCTGAACAGGTTGAAGTTGATCCCAATGATTGAGGTCTGAGCCCCGAATTATTTAGCTGAAGATTACCAGTGCATTATAGGATGCTTCTCAGCAGTACTGGCTTCTACCCACTAGATGCCAGCAGCATCCCTCCCCGTGTCGTGCAATAATAGGCACTCTAGGTATTTGAAAATGTCCCAGAATAGGGGAGCAATTCCTTGGTGAAGCCACTTACAAGGAAGCCAGCTAGGACAGAACTTGAGGGGTCAAATAAAAGAAAAGCATTTCTTATACTTCAGCAGGGGTCTTTCTACCTTCACTATATTAAATCCCACTTTAGCCTCAAACGAAATTGATGTGGCAGTCCTCTAATCAGAGCTCCCTGAGGCCTAACGCTAACAGACCCTTAGTGCTTACAGCCCTTTCTTACGACAGCTTAAGTGGCTCTGAAAAGAGCCTTTGGGTTGAAATCAGTCAAGTCGCTTGTGCACCCTTACTTGGAGCTGGTGTACTTGGTGACCGCCTTGGTGCCTTCGGACACAGCGTGCTTGGCCAGCTCCCCGGGCAGCAGCAGGCGGACGGCTGTCTGGATCTCCCGGGACGTGATGGTCGAGCGCTTGTTGTAATGCGCCAGACGCGACGCCTCGCCCGCAATGCGCTCGAAGATGTCGTTGACGAAGGAGTTCATGATGCCCATGGCCTTGGATGAGATGCCGGTGTCGGGGTGTACCTGCTTCAGCACCTTGTATACGTACACCGAATAGCTCTCCTTACGGCTGCGCTTGCGCTTCTTGCCGTCCTTCTTCTGCACCTTGGTGACCGCCTTCTTAGAGCCCTTCTTGGGAGCCGGAGCAGATTTCGCCGGATCAGGCATTTTTCTCCGAGATCAAAGAAGCAGCAACACGAACGAGAAGAAGCAGTGAACGACTACCGCCCAGCCGCTGGTTATGCGCTACTTATAGCGGTTGTATGCAAATGAAGGATCCCACAGTACTTCGTCTTTGTTGGTTAATTCACAAACGTGTCATTTGCTCAAGGGGCGGGACCTACGTCAACACATTTTGGTTGCGCTTTACTGGTGATTAGATGCAAGTCTTCCTAGCCAATCAAAGTCCTCCATCTCACATTACCCTGTAAATCACACACAACTGCAGTTTCTTCTGTTCTTTATTTTTCCCTTCAACTAGTTTGTTTATCGAATACTTTTTTTTTGAGACAGGATCTCCCAGTAGCTCCAGCTGGCCTCCATTTCAGAGACCCCTCCACCTGCCTCCGCCTCCCGAGTTGCTTGTGCCATCACACCCAGTTTACCCAAGAATTCTTAAGCACCAAGTTAGACGTTTAGCTTTATCTTACTCGCTATTTCGTACAATCTAATTTACTTAGGCGCACGCTTTTTCTAACGCCAGGTTCACATCTCTAAATCTGCTTTTCCACTCAGCTGTAGCAAGCCATGAGGTCAATTCCCCCTCTGAAGAGCTCCTGGACAAACTCCGGGAAGCATTCAGCCTTTGTTTAAATAGACTTGTGTCTACCCTCAAACGATTCAAGAGGTGCAGCCTCCACTGTCTTCCTCCTAGAACTAAGGTTCCTGTGCTCAAATCACTTGGGTCAAGACTAGGTCTGTGCTACCTTTTGTGTTACAGCCTCCTAATGAAGCCGGAGCGAGGGAACTATTACCGAGTTGGACTGGAAAAAGGGAGGTAAAGCGGATACAGCTACTCTTAACGCCTACGTGGGTGGCTCTGAAAAGAGCCTTTTGTTGGTGGTCTAAGAACTCGGAATGCTCAAGCGCGCTCCCCGCGGATGCGGCGGGCCAGCTGGATGTCCTTGGGCATGATGGTGACACGCTTGGCGTGGATGGCGCACAGGTTGGTGTCCTCGAAGAGCCCCACCAGGTAGGCCTCGCTGGCCTCCTGCAGCGCCATCACCGCCGAGCTCTGGAAGCGCAGGTCCGTCTTGAAGTCCTGCGCGATCTCGCGCACCAGGCGCTGGAACGGCAGCTTGCGGATCAGCAGCTCGGTGGACTTCTGGTAGCGCCGGATCTCGCGCAGCGCCACGGTGCCCGGCCGGTAGCGGTGCGGCTTCTTCACGCCGCCAGTGGCCGGTGCGCTCTTGCGGGCCGCCTTGGTGGCCAGCTGCTTGCGCGGGGCCTTGCCACCGGTGGACTTGCGGGCCGTCTGCTTTGTACGGGCCATACTTTTGTGTCTTTGGTCAGGAGCGCCTAGCAGCCATATTTATAGACATGTCTTCGTCTTGATTGGGCCAGAAAACAGGAATTTCTGGGCTCGTGATCTCATTGGATAAAATTTAATCCCACTTACTGAGTCGCAAGATGGTCATCCTAACCTTTTCTTGCGGATTCCTTGTCCTTTCCCTCTTTCTGTAATTTATCAATCACAGATGGTTTTTTAAAAATCTTTCTTTTCAGTCGATGTAACGTCCCTGAAAGCAATTTATAATCTATTTGTATACTTTATATTTTAACTGTTTTCGTCCGAAACAAGGTTGCCCTTCTATGTACTCGGATTCAGTCTGTTGCAAGTTAGCAGTTACTGTAACTTTTCTCCCCAAGCTATCGTTTATTTAGCGTCAGGGACTGTCCAGCGACATGGATACTTTATCCCATGACTGGAGAAGTAAAAAGCAATTATGTAGTGGAAGGAATAAAAAGTTAAACTTACTCTTACCTGAGTTCTGAACCCGACCAACTCGATGTTTAGATTTCCTGCCTTATCTCCACCGCCCCCCACCCCCCGCGGGGTATGCAGCCCCCTCCTTGCGCCCCACACCAATTAGATCCTGCAGATGAAATACTTGGTTCACCTTCCCAATGGGAACAGTTTTAAGCAATCAAGACTTGTAGCAACCAGGTGACAAGTTAAAACAAACTTTTTTTTTTTTTTTTTTTTATGTCTTTTTGAAGCAGGGTCTCTCTGTAAGCCCCAGCTGTCCTAGAACTCACTATGTAAACCAGGCTGGCCTTGAACTCACAGAGATCCGCTTGCCTCTGCCTCCCAAGTGCTGGAACTACAGGTATGCACCACCACACCCGGCTTAAAACAAAGTTTTTTAAAACAAATGACTCTCATTGATGACTGAGGGGCTAACTAGTATTTTCTTCAACAAAGACAAAATGTTTTCGTCTTTTTTGGTCTTTTCGAGACAGGGTCTCCCTGTAGCCACAGCTGGCCTGTAACTCATTATGTAGTTCAGGCTGGCCTTGAACTCACAGAGATTCACCTGCCTCTGCCTCCCGAGTGCTGGGATTAAGGGCATGCACTACCACACCTGACAGTGTTTTCTAATTCTTAAAAGCTTAATATTTTCTATATTCTTCACAAGAACATTGTATTCTTTACCTTTTGGTTATTTCACATGTTTTGGAAAGAGCGTGCTATAATGATTATATACAGAAGTTATACTGGCTAATATAAAACTTTAAAAAATATATATTTTATTTTTATTTTATGTGTATGATGAGTGTATTGCCTGCATGTATGTGAGTGCACCCCTGTCATACAATGCCTCGGAGGTCAGAAGAGGGCTTCAGATTCCCCGGAACTGGAGTTAAGGACAGTTCGTAGCCGTCATGTGGATGCTGGGAATTGAACCCAGGTCCTCTTTAAGAGCAGTCAGTGCTCTTAACCACTGAGCAATCTCTCCAGGCCCCTAATAAAAAACTTTTAATAGCATGCTTGATTTTCTTTTGTTTCCCCCTTTCCTTTTTTGTTTGTTTTGTTTCATTTTGTTTTGTTGAGATAGGGTCTCACTATGTAACCCTGATTGACCTGAAACTTGCTGTGTGGACCAGGCTGACCTCGAACTCACAAAGATCCACCTGCCTCTGTCTCCTGAGTGCTGGGATTAGAGGTATGCACCCATCCCCGTCCTGCATGCTTGATTTTTTTGAAAAGGTATCACAGGCAAACCATATAAAAACTCAAACCTAAGGAAAAAAAGCTGGTCCTAGAAGCTTAAAACTTACCTTGATGGTGCCAGTATGCATTCTCTTCCTGCTGAAATCCAAGTGAAATTAAATGGATTTTAAGGGGGTTCCTCAACACTAAACACATGTAGATATTTGGCAGTTTAATTAATTTCTTTAAGAATCCTTCATGAGACGGGTATGGTGGTGTATGCCTTTAATCCCAGCACTGGGGAGGCAGAGGCAGGCAGATCTGTGTGAATTCAAGGTTAGCCTGGTCTACATAACAAGTTCCAGGCCAGCTAGGGCTACAGAGAGACCCTGTTTCAAAAAAGACAAAAAAAAAAGAAGAGTCCTTCATGAGCCAGTTGTGGTGGCACAAGCCTTTAATCCCAGCACTCCAGAGACAAAGTCAGGCAGATCTCTGAGATGAGGCCATCCTGGTCAATCACAGGTCAGCAGCTGAGGCTGTCTCAAAAAAAAAAAAAAAATCCTTCATGAGCAGCATCCTCCTCTACAGAGATCTAAAATGGCACACAAAAATATAATTGATGTGAACAAATGTGACCATTGCTATGGTGATTGTGTAATAATGCCCTACAAACAGAGAGCAATACTCTAAGAGTTGTTCCAGGGCCAATGAGATGGCTCAGTTGGTCGACTGCTTGCTGTGTAAGTCTGACAACCTGAGTTCAATCCCCAGAACCTACATAAAGATGGAGGAAGAGAACTGAACCCACAGAGTTGTCCTCTGACCTCTACCCTATGGCACATGTGCACTCCCTCCCCACAAGAATATATTTTTCGAAGCTGTCTACCTATACTATATCATTTAATACCAATCTAAAGTACATTTTTCTTTTTTCACTTTCATACAAGATAATTGGTCTCAGAGAACTTTGATCTGCCCTGGACAAATAAAAAGACCTGAATAAAGCGAAACGATGAAATTATAACGATGACCTTCTTTCCTAGGCTATGGGCACATTTGAAGCACAGAAGTATCTTCTCATCATACAATCAAGCCATCTGATATTTCTCAAACTTGTCCACTAACTTTCCTAACAGAAGGGGAAACTGCCCCCTGGGCACTGGATGGTGCTCACCCAAGTGTCATATTTCCTTGGAATATTTTCTCTATAATGTATGAGTTTTTGGTCATAGTATATGGATGTGTTCATTTAAGTTGCAAAAAGTTTCTGAAACTCTATATTGTAATCCCCCTTATCTGAGGTTTTGATTTCTGTCCTCAACAGTATTTAGGTAATAATAAGTGGAAAATTCCAGAAATTAATAAGTCATAAGTTTTACATTGCATGGCCATTCCAAGTACCGGGATGGAAGCTCATGCTTGCTTACGCAGGGCATAAAATCCCTTGACTGGTCATAAGCCACCAGTCCTGCTACTGGGCCTTACCAGAGCATTGTCAGCCCCTGCCCAGAAACTATGTCCTGGGACATACCATCCCCCAACCATGAAGCAATACCAGTTCTGAAAATAGGCCTCTCTGCCCTTATGAGCCCCCCCCACCCAGGCCCTTTACAAACACCAACCTGTATACCTATCCTTCAGTGGTAAACTTCCTCGACTCTTGAATCAGTGTGGCTACAGTGCCAATTCCTGTGGTCAGCTTCTACCCCCATTGGCTGATAAAGGTCAATTCAGATCCTAATTTATAATTTAACTTTACTATAGGCATATAAACGTATAGTGTAGGGAAATACAGAGTGCTGCTTACATGTCAGTATTACCTGTGGACTCAGACGTTGCCTGGGGATCTTGGACTGTATTCTTTGAGAATAAGAAAAAATTACTGTTTTCAGATATATAGAACCCAAGAGTTATAGAATTTATTTTACTTTTATAACAGACAATAAGAAAATTACAAGACTTTTTCTTTCTTTTTAAATTGTGTTTTTAACAATTTCTACTTTTGCTGGGTATGGTGACGACACACTCCTTTAATCCCAGTGCTTAGGAGGTAGAGGCAGGTAGATCTCTGTGAGTTCAAGACCAGCCTGGTCTACATAGTGAGTTCCAGGCCAGATGTGGCTACATGGTGTTCCTGTCTCAAAAAGACCCAAAAAAAGGGGCTGGAGAGATGGCTCAGTAGTGAAGAGCACTGGCTGTACTTGCAGAGGCTCCAGGTTCAATTTCCAGCACTCACATGGTAGCTAACAACTGTCTGTAACCCTAGCTCCAGAGGATCTGACACCCTCTTCTGACCTCCTCAGGCACTGAATGACTCAGGTGCACTTATATACATGCAGGCAATACACTCATACACATAAAAAATAAAAATAATAAATATTTTTAAAAAACCCAAAATTCTACTTTTCAGAAAACAGAGATAGCAATTTAAATATGAATTCTAAAATAAGAAATTAGAAATCAAAATCACAAATTTTGAAGGGCTATAGGTACTTACATCTCAAAATACAATAGGTTCTGATGTACTGCTCCTTAGCCAGGTAACTAGAAGTTTAATCTTGAATGCCTTCTTCATTGCCTTTAGTAACAGAATTCAGATTTATAGTAGTTCCGTTCTGCTTAGTCCTCATACTGGACTGGAGCGATATTCCTTTAAAGTTCTCAGTCCACTATTTCTTCAAAATCAGGTTTGTAACACGGAAGAAACTCTGCTTTTCTGCTGTTGTAGGAGAGAAGTGATAGTTCTCCTAAAATTTCTGAAGTTTTTATTAAAAATTGTGAGGCCCTGCAGTTTAAAGACAGGGAACTGAAATTTTATCAGTTGGGAGTGGGTGGGTCCCAGAAGCTAAAATCTTCATGTATACCAAATACCCAAGCTAAGAAATTTTAATAAGTGAATTATTAGGCATGTAGTATTTTTAATGTATTTGTGTTTAAGACAAAAACATCTATTTTAACTTACACCATTACTTTTGTCTAGACTAAAATAGATGTTGGAGGAAGATAATCTGTGTTTGGCTTTTGTTTTCAAGTATCCCCAGAGTTCTGTTATTCCAAACTGGAACCATTTGAATTTTCAGTTTGTGGGCTATTCAGGCCATGCATTTGATTTGCTTTCACTCAGATCAATCTACGGCCCAGGACCAAGCTAAGAAATCACAGGAATATAAGCTTCTTTCTTTATCCTACCCTGAGATATACCAACTCCTTTAATATCCTGCTATTGGATTAAAAAACAAATGAGCACAAATCTCCTCTATTGGTCAGCAATAGTTACTACCTGCATTTGATAGCCTAGAATTTGTACTTTTTTTTTACCTTTTAATATAGCATTCCACTAGAATGCACTAGAATCTAGCAATGTATTACAATATTTCAAAGCAGGCCAGGCATGGTGGCGCATGCCCTTTAATCCCAGCACTCCGGAGGCAGAGGCAGGCGGATCTCTGTGAGTTCAAGGCCAGTCTGGTCTACACAGTTCCAGGACAGCTGGGGCTACATAGGGAGACCCTGCTTCAAAAAGACCAAAACCAAAACCAAAACAAACAAACAAAAAAAACAATATTTCAAAGCAATATAAAGCATTTTTATTCAGGTAGCCATCCTCATGAGCTAAATCAGCCACAAACTGCAGAAATGTTGAGGGCTACATATTTTAAAGGACTTTTTATGTGAATTGCAAAAAAAATAATTTTTTCTTGCATCTCCATTTGTTCTTAGTTGGAACATTGCTCTGCAACAAAAGATAGATCTGTTTGTTTTCTTTTAAACGGTATATTGGGCATATGCATGGGAACTCTAACAAGATGAGTAATTGAAAGGGGTCTATGTATTCTACATAGTAGGAGAAGGGGAAAGGAAAGAAAGGATACTTTTGGAAAAGCAAATGACCTTTTAGGAGAATACACAACCTGTTCTAGTTTGCTCTCAATTGCTATGACAAAACACCCTGACCAATAATGCTGTGGGGAGGAAAAGGTTTATTTGGCTTACATTTCCTGGGTCACAGTTCATCACTGAGGTAGCCCACAGTGGGAACTCAGGGCAGGAACCTGGAGGCAGGAGCTGAAGCACAGGCCAAGGAGGAACGCTGCTTACTGGCTTGCTCCTCTGGCCCCTGCTCAACCTGCTTTCTTACCCCACATAGGCCCACCTGCCCAGGGGTGGCACCACCCACAGTGAGCTGGGCCCTCCCACATCACTCAATAATCAAAAAGAGGCCCCACAGACATGGCCATAGGCCAGTCCAATGGAGGCAGTTCACCAACTGAGGATCCCTCTACCCAGGTGTGTCAAGAGCTATATAGGACAGATCCCCTAGGAGGATAGGATAGTCTGGTGACAATATATGGTTAGGTGAAGTACCAACCTCAGCTCTGAGAACAGAGTTGTCCCTGTGGAGATTTACAGCAACTGAGTTAGATGCTGACTTCTTTTGCAGATTTTACTTTTAGACAGAGACAGGATTTCAGGAACCCAGCCCTTCAGCTCAAAATGATTCTCATGTCCAAAGCGGTGTATTTGTGAGAAGCAAATTCCTGATCCCCCTTCAAATGGGAAGAACATAGACATTATCTCTGTTTCTATCTAGGTCCCTGACACCAAGCAAGCTGTGTCTGCCTTAGTGTATGCAATTTGGTTATATTTTCCTTTCTTCCTAGTGTTTAAATAGTTACATGCAGGAACTGTTCATTCTTAAGCAGTTACTGAGTGTTTCCTACACATCAGTTGATAAAAAATAACCAGAAATCAGTACCTGTAAGGAACACTGTTGGAGGCTGGTTAAGATACAGAAAGATGTAAAGTAATGTGATATTTTGCAAGAGCTACTAAAGAAATAGAAAAGAGCAAGTAGTTTCTCTGCCCAGAAGCAGCAAAAGGAGAGGAAAGAGATCTGTGAATTCTAGGTACTGGTTTGGGCATATAGACATGCCATTGCAGTGATCCACAGTGGACTAGTCAATGAAGAGACTTTTGTATAACTAACCAGGCCTCTGTGTGTATGTGTGTGTGTGTGTGTGTGTGTGTGTGTGTGTGTGTGTGTGTGTGAATCCCCCACCGCCTAAGAACCACACCTCAGAGGCCTTATGTTTAAAGCATATGGGGTTTGGAGGTTTTAAGCCTTGAGCCTAAAATGACTAAAAACCTTCCACATCTATCTATGTGCCCAGAGCTAGAAAGTCTGCAGAGAAACAATTTAGGATTCATCAGCATATGTGCTAGACCAAAGAGAGGAAGCAATGAATTTACCAGTTTTAAAAAACAGATGGGTTTCAAAAAAGAAAAAAAAAATCACCACAATTCCTTTTGTTATAGAAAGAACATTTTCTTATGATTCTTCTTCGAGGGCCTGGTAACAACAAACATACTAGCAGTAAGGATGCCAGTTAATTTCGCAGGGCACTTTCTGGTATAACTGTATGAAGCAGATGGCCACTTGCAAAACTGAGCAAACTGTGCTGGATCCAAGGGGATTCAGTTTGGGTACCAAAAAATCCTAACAGAAAGCAAAGGCCGATCTTAAGGGGCCTATAGAAATGGGTGTCCAGCAGATCCCTCAGGCCACCCTGTGAGCTGCATGTCCAGCAGAGCTTTGGGGAGGGGTGTGCTGGGACCCACTGACCTCAGTGAGAAAGCTCGGCAGCATCTTCAGACCAAATTTCACAGGATCTCGCTTCTGGGTGGGCTGAAATACAAAACAGCGACTAGACTCAGAAATGACATCCCGATTCCACACATCCCAAGTCGGCCTCTCCAGTCAACCAAATTTTTTGGAACCCCTTTTGCTGCAGTTTTACATAACTGTAGATTAGAGTCCTCCTGGGATGATTAGATTCCAGGCTGACCCTTTCTCTCTTCATATTTGAATTCCATTTTCTCTTCCTCGGGTCTTCTGTCCACTTAGCCTTAATTAAATGCCTTCCAGAAGCCTTCACGCTGCAAGAGACAGAGATGCAAAGATTTCGGTATCTAAAAGCGTTATTTTGGAAAATGAATTCTCCCAGAGACGATGGTATATCGATTTTTTAAAATTAAAATAAGAAAAAGAAAACACAAAGGTAGGGCTACGAGGGACCGGTAGAGGGCAGAGACGAGAGAAGAAAAAAGGAAAATGACGCAATGTTGAGAGCTGGGACGGTCTAGCAAGCTTCCCGCCCGCGCGCTTTCTGTTTTCAATCTGGTCCGATCCTTTTGTATATCAGTGGAGAGCCTCCCTCCCCAAGGCTCAGGCTGGTTTCTCAAACTGTGCTTAGCATGTCTGGTAGAGGAAAGGGTGGCAAGGGCTTGGGCAAGGGGGGTGCCAAGCGCCACCGCAAGGTTCTGCGGGACAACATCCAGGGCATCACCAAGCCTGCTATCCGCCGCCTAGCCCGGCGTGGCGGGGTTAAGCGCATCTCCGGCCTCATCTACGAGGAGACTCGCGGCGTTCTGAAGGTGTTCCTGGAAAACGTCATCCGGGACGCGGTCACCTACACAGAGCACGCCAAGCGCAAGACCGTCACCGCCATGGACGTGGTGTACGCGCTCAAACGCCAGGGCCGCACCCTCTACGGCTTCGGAGGTTGAGCCGTACTCCGTTTCGCGTCACCCTCAAAGGCCCTTTTTAGGGCCACCCACATAGCCATTTGAAGAGCTGAGCATAGATTCCTGCGTTTGTCTTAGGTACATCTAGCGATCTAGACAGGGTAAGGTCGAGTCCAGATTCAGAATAATGTGGAGTCTGGCTGAATCTGGTTGGAAGAGCAGCTTGCCATTGTGGAGAAGCCTGTTCTGCTGGCCTGCTACTTCCATCAATTAGCCTTTGGCCTCATTGCCCACTTGCCATAAACCCGATCAGGGTAGTCTCTAAACTTTGGGTAGTTTATGTATTTCTAGTTAAGGAATAACTGGTAAGAACTGTTTGTCAATCACATAGGAGCAAGTAAAGATTAGGTAAAAGACTGGCTCTTTTTTGGCTTTGTGTCGTTTTCTCCTGTATTCAATAGGAAGGGCTCTCAACTTCGGTAAGGACCTAGAAAGCATAATAGACTCCTGCAACTATAGCATTGCAAGGATACAAGTGCAGAGACTTTTTACTATCCTGTCAAGGCTGTAAAAAGGCTGGATGTGGTAGCCCCCAGCTGTAATCCCAGCAATTGGGGTGAGAGAGGTCAGGAGTTAAGGATAAACTCTGCTAGTAGTAAATTCGAGGCCAGACTGCACTGTGAGACCCTGCTGCTAAACAACCACAAAGAAAACTTATTGCCAGCCATGGTTGAGAGCTTAGAGCTCATTGCCTTGGATTCCGGTTCTTGCCTGAGGAAAAGTTGAATGCCAGGGATGAATAGCTAAGGACTTGGAAAAGGGTGAACACAGGCCATTCATTGAAGCAGAAACTGAGCAAAGAGCTAAGGACACTGTAGGGAAGCAGTGGGGGTGTCTTCTGGCCTGGCCCTTTTATAGGGTGTCCTGGTCTTTCTCGCCTTTGATCCCCTCTCCCCACACTTCATCCATGGTGGGAAAGGTCCCAGCCAGGTGAATGGGTTTGTTTAGACATTCCAACAGTGAGATGGGTATGTTATCTCTTTTCCTCCTTCCCACCTTTTTCTTAACTGCCTGCCCCTAGCTAATGCCTAACAAGCCGAAGCAAGCTGTGTAATTATTGGAAGTCTTCAAAAACAATTCAGCTATATGGCAGGTATTAGGACCTGCTTAAAATGAGTCTTGCAGGGACGTGTCCACCCTTATCAATACAGAAAGTGCAATTTAGTTTGTTATGGTAAAAGCAAATTCTCACCATGGCATACAGTAAGCAATTACCCTTTTTTTTTTCTAAACTGCCCTGATTTGGGTTAAATATGGGGGTTCCGCACTTCTCATGCTTAATTTGGTTTTTGTTATTGCACATTAAGAAACCTTTTACAGTCGGGCATGGTGGCACACGCCTTTAGTTCCAGCACTTGTGAGGCAGAGGCAGGTGGATCTCTGTGAGTTCAAGGCCAGCCTGGTCTACATAGTGAGTTCCAAGACAGCTGGAGCTACAGGGAGACCCTGTCTCAAAAAGTCCAAAAAAATAAAGAAATTACTGTTGTGAACTTTTTGTGCAACCCCCACTTTCGTCACATGATCTCATATTGGGGGTGTAACTTACAGTTCAAAAAACTTAATTGTAGTGTATACCATCTCAGCTATGCACTAAATATATACTGCAAGGAACTACAGCAATATGTTTAGATTGTTCTATACATCTATATTTCTATTTTCCATCTATAATTGTACAATTGTCATATTTAAAAAAACATTTGTAGAGAACTGTATATTTAAGTGACATTGTAGGAAACAAGGCAGACAGACCATGTGTGACATTAGATACACTTTACTCCAATGTTAATATTTGGCAAATCTATGGTCCAATGTCACAGCCAGAGCACTGTCACTGATACAGTCAAGAATTTCATCACCACTGTGCACTTATCAGTACTCTACAAAAGGGTCAAGATGATGAAAAAAGGGAAACACTGACACACACTAGGGGATACTAATACCTCAGGAGTAAAGCGGCAATGCATCTGGATCTGGGTCTGGCAGTGGACAGGGCATATTAGTGGAAAAATTGGTGAAATCTAAGTACCCTTCCAGTCCAGTTAATCACATTGTGCTGAAGACATCATAGTGGCTATCCTATGTTATCAAGGGAGTCTAAGTGAATGGGATTCAGAACTCTTTATATTATCTTCATGAGTTTTATTTATTTCAAACACACAGACAACATATCTTGATCATAAGCACCCCTTGACCCCTACCCCCGGCTCCCCATTTTTTTCTCCCAATTTCATGTCCTCTTTTAAAATTATTTTTTAATTATTTTTTAACCCACTGAGTACAAATAGTGCTGCCCCTATGCATAGGGACTTGGCATCATCCACTGGTAACAGGGAACTACCAGTGGCCACACTCCTAAAGAAAAGTGATTTTCCCTCCCCTGGCAACTATCAACTACCAAACAGTTCCTCAGTTAAGGGTGGGGCATTGGGAGCCCCTCCCCACTCCATGTTGGAAATTTTAACTGTTTAATCTTGTGCAGGTTTTATGCAGGTGATCACAGCTGCTGTGAGTTCATATGTGCAACAGCCATGTCATGTTCAGAGAACAGCATTTCACAGCACCCTTCCCCATCTTCTGGCTCTTGTAGTCTTCCTTGATGTTCCCTGAGCCTTATGGTGGGGGTTGATATAAATGTCCTGTCCGTGGTTGAACACCCCATAGTTGTTTATTCTTAGCACTTTGAACAGTAATGCATCTCTGCATTAACCACTATCCACTTCCAGAAGAGGCTTCTCTGACTGCGGCTGGAGAGATGGCTCATTAGTTAAGAGCTTGCAGAGGACCTGAGTTCAATCCCCAGCACCCACATCAGGCTCATAGCTGCCTTCTGTAACTCAATTCCATGGCATCTCACACTCTCTTCTGAACTCTAAGGGAACCTGCACTCATGTGCACATCCACAAACACATAGACACAGAATTAAATAATAAAAATAAATCTTTTGCTAGGTGTGGTGGCACACGCCTGTAGTCCCAGCACTTGGGAGGCAGAGGCAAGCAGATCTCTGTGAGTTCAAGGCCAGCCTGGTCTGCATAGTGAGTTCCAGGACAGCTGGGGCTTATAGGGAAACCCTGTTTCAAAAAAAGACCAAAAAAAAAAAAAATCTTTTAAAAATATTGGGTTTTTTTGGTCTTTTTTGAGACAGGGTCTCCCTGTAGCCCCAACTGTCCTGGAACTCACTATGTAGACCAGGCTGGCCTTGAACTCACAAAGATCCGCCTGCCTCTGCCTCCCAAGTTGCTGGGATTAAAGGTGTGCACCACCACGCCCGGCTTCATTTTTATTTTATGTATATGAGTTTATTGCCTGCATGCATGTACAGGCACACGTGTTGTGCACTGCCTACAGAGGTCAGAAGAGGGCACCAGATTCCCTTGGGACTGGAGTCACAAACGTTTGCTAACTGCCATGTTCGCTCTGGGAATTGAACCCCGGTCCTCTGCAAGAGCAGCCAGTGCTCTCAACCGCTGAGCCACCCCCCCTCCCCCAAATTTAAACCAGCTTTTCTGACCAAAGTTGAATAAGCTCTGGTGATTGGAGGGAGGAAGCTAGGTGTGTAGTCTTGTGATGTGACCTATGGGGTCCAGAGGGGTAGGACCTACCTGAGAGGCTGGGAAGCCAGATTTGGCAGTTTACAGGGTGGGATGGAGTGTGCCTAGTTTGAGGCATGGGGAACCGAAGATCCCAGAGGATCAGGGCAGCCTATGGGGTGAGGCAGAGCTGTGTTTACCCAGCAGCTCAGAGTCGAGATTGCAGAAATGGATAGCCTACAGGATGGGGAGGAGCAGAACCTAGGATAGGGTTGTGGGGGAGGAAAGAGCATGGTCCATCAAGCAGCCTGGGGAAGGGAGGTCACAGAGGAGCCAAGTGGCCTCTGGGCGTAGGGGGTCTGGGGGGAGCTTTTTTTTTAAATTTTTTTTATTTTTATTTTTTTTGAGACAAGAGCTCACTATGTAGCTCTAGCTGGCCTGGAACTCACTGCGTAGACTAGACTGGCCTGGAACTCACAGAGATCCCCCTGCCTTTGCCTCCTGAATGCAGGGATTAAAGACATGCACCGCCACACTCATTCTGCCTGCCTACCTCTTCTCAGCTGGCCTGGAACTTGCTATGTAGACTAGTGTGGCCTTGACCTCACAGAGAACAGCCTATCTCTGCCTCCTATGTGCTGGGATTAAAGACGTTGGCCACCACATCAGGTTTACCTCTTAATTATAGTTTTGCAATTAAATTTGAATGTACAAGTTTATTTTTATTTTTGCATCTTAGACTTCATTTGAAAAATTTGACAATATATGTCATCGAGAGGAGAAATACTAGGTCTGTTCCCAAAAGATCTATTTATGATCTTCATATTTGGCTGCTTTCACCAGCATTAAACACTTGAGAATGAACTAGGTTTAAAATATGATGCTTAATAGGGATGCCAGTGAAGGAAGAGACTCAATACCACCTCCAAGAGCTTACCACAGAACAAAGAAAACTACATAAAATGCACACATATATACATACACACATACACATATAAATGGGAAAGTGGGGGAAGCTTAGCTATGGAGGTGGCGTTTGTGCCAGTCTTTGGAAAAAGCAAGATGCCTGCCAGTTGGGCATACAGAAAATGGGGAGCAGGAATCGGGAGTAAATAGCCAGAAGAGCGTTTGTGATGACGAGGCTTCTGCGCATCTATGCTTAAGATGTCTCATCTTCCTTTAAAATCTCATCCTGAAATTTACATTTCTATTTCAGATATCACTGTGGTTTTTTTTAACTTTAAAGATGATGCAGATGAATATATCTGATCTCAATGGAAATTGCTCTGAAGCACTAGATAGCAAAAGGGTTGAAGAAAACTCAACAAATAAAGGGAAAGGAGTGGGAAGCATTTCTGTCATTGAAGTCAGTGGCTCTGAAAGTGAGAGCTCCAGTCTAGCAGTACAGATTGCCTCGCCTTACCTCAGACCTGCAGAACTGGAAACTCCAGGGGTAAGACCAAC